GAGAGAATATATATATATATAAATATGCCAGTATTTGGGAGTTAGGCTATGTGCCCAGTAACTATGTTATTATCATTATTGACGTCTCTGACTCATCCACATATATATATATATGTCTATGCTTGTGTATTGAATGATCATTCATGTGTGCAGTGATTAATTGTGTTATCGCCCACGGAAGGAATTACTGAGAACTCCAGTGATATATACTTGCATACGTTATCATTAAGTGAAGGGCAGTGTGTAATACCATGACAGTGAATTATTGTCACCTTTAATATAGAAATGTTTGATTGAGCACAAGATCAGTGTAGCTAAGTGTTTACGTGTTGTTGTCGCAAATATTGTGTGTTCGATCTTCTAGTGATCTTTGAGAACTTAAAGAAACAGAGCGCGTGACGCCAGGAAAACAAGCAAACAGATAAAGTGACATTCGCGCGGCGGGGGGGGAGGGGGTAGTCGCCCAGCTGATTTTGACATTGACGAGAGGGGGAGCATTGCCGGCTTGGTGAGTTCATATTATATGTGTGGGAACGAGCGACTCCTGCCTGAAACAACTGTTGCTTATTGATATAATCTTGTGATGTCTTTGAATGAGTTTTAAGTAAAATACAAAGTACATTGGTGTTTATATCATCCCCTCCATATTTCTTGTGGCTATGTAATACCTGAAAGCAGAGAGTGATAGAAGTAAATACCTGCCTGATATCAGATCTATTGAGTGTGTCCTTGCCACTGTTACCACAATTCAACAAAACCACTGACGTGTTACTGGACACCGAAAACACCAGTTGGCGACCTTGTGGTTAGTAGTAGAGCCCTATGTTGGGGCGGGCATACAACAGTTAAGTGAACAAGTTGTGTTCCCACTCCTTCTCGATCAGAGGCCGGTTGGGATTGACTGGGATACTCTCCTGGCGTACAGTGGCGCCGCGAGAATAGAGTGAAGACCTGCAGGGCTACGGTGAGTGACCTTGATTGTACTGTTACTCGCCCCTTTCCCCTCTCATTGGAGGTGAACCCCGACAATATGTACCTGGGAGTTAGACAGCTGCTACGGGCAGCTTCCTGGGGGGGGGGGGGTGGTAAGAAAAAGGAGGCCTGGTTGAGGACCGGGCCGCGGGGACGTTAAGCACCGAAATCATCTCATGATAACCTCAAGATAGCCTTCAGTTGAGTAAACAACCCAGCAAAACAGTTGAGTAGACATCCCAGCAAATGAAGTTTATAAAACACCCCAACACCACCAGATGAGTAAACACACCAGCACAATCAGTTGAGTAAACATTCCATCACCACCAGTTAAGTAAACATCACAACACCAGCAGTTGAGTGAACATTCCAACACCCCTAGTTGAGTAAACATCCAGCTGTTGAGTAAACATCCTATCATCACCAGTTGAGTAAATCTCCCATCACCGCCAGTTGAATAAACATCCCAGCACCATCAGTTAAGTAAACATCCCAGCACCAGCAGTTGAGTAAACATCTCATCACCACCAGTTGAGAAAAATTCCCAACACCTCCAGTTGAGTAAACGCCCTAACACCACTATTTGAATAATCATTCCAACACCACCAGATGAGTGAACATCACAACATCAGCAGTTGAGTAAACATCCCAGCATTACCAGTTGAGTAAACATCCCAGCATTACCAGTTGAGTAAACATCCCAGCATTACCAGTTGAGTAAACGTTCCAGCTTAGTTAACATCCGAGCACCACCAGTTGAGTATACATCGCAGCAACAACAGTTAAGTAAGCATTACAGCACCCAAAGTTGATTAAACATCCCAGCACCACAAGTCTAATACATATTTTAGCACCAGAAGATGAGTAAACATCAAAGTACCACAGTTGAATAAACGTCACCACTCCAGCCGTTGAGTAAACATTCCAACACTAACATTTGAGTAAACATCTCAGCATTTTCTTCTTGAGTATCATCGCGTATAAAAGATGGGTATCAGAGTACCGATCGAAGCAACAGTAGTTGAGAAAACATCCCAACACCAGCAGTTGAGTAAATTGTCCAGCACCAGTAGTTGAGTAAACATCCCAGCTCCATTAGTTCAGTAAACATCACAATATCCTCCGTTGAGTAAACTTTCTTGCGCCACCAGTTGAGTAAACATTCTAACACGAGCAGTTGAGTAAGCTTCCAAGCCCCCAGCAGTTAAGTAAACATTCTAACACTAGCAGTTTAGTAAATATCCCAGCACCAACATTTGAGTTAACATTCCATCACCTGTAGTTGAGTAAACATCACAGTACCACCAGTTGAGTAAACATCCAAACACCAACAGTTGAGTAAACATCCTAGCATTTCCAGTCGAGTAAACGTCCCAGCATTACCACTTCAGTAAACATCCCACCACCAGAAGTTGAGTAAACCTCACAGCATCAGCAGTTGAGTAAACATCCCAAACACCACCCATTGAGTAAACAACCCAGCACTGGTAGTTGAGTAAACATCCCACATCAACAGTTGAGTAAAGTTTCCAGCACGACCAATTGAGTAAACATTCCAACACGAGCAGTTGAGAAAACTTCCCAGCACCAGCAGTTGAGTTAACATCGCAAAGCCATTAGTTGATTAAACCTCTCAACACCCTCATTTTAGTAAACAACTTAGCACCAGTAGTTGAGTAAACATCTCACACCACCTGTTGAGTAAACATGCAATCACCAACAGCTGAGTAACTATCCTAACACCAGCAATTGAGTAAATATCCCTACACCAGCAGTTCAGTAAACATCCCAACACGAGTTGAGTAATCATCCCTACACTGCTAGTTGAGTAAACATCCCAACCACACTAGTTGAGTAAACATCCCAACACCACCAGTTAAGTATACATCCCAACACCACCAATTGAGTAAAAGTCCCAACTTCATCAGTTGAGTAAACATCCCAACACCACCAGTTGAGAAAACATCCCATCACCATCAGTTGAGTAAAAGTCCCAACACCACCAGTTGAGTATTCATCCCAACACCAGCAGTTGAGTAAACATCCCAAAACCACCAGATGAGTAAACATCCCAACACCATCAGTTGAGTATATATCCCAACTCCACCAGTTGAGTAAAGATCCCAACACCACCAGAAGAGTAAACATCCCAACACCAGCAGTTGAATATACATCCCAACACCACCAGTTGAGTAAACATACCAACACCTATTTCCACTAGGCAGTGGAAACAGGACGCCAGACATAGGATACAGAATGGGGGATGAATTCCTCCATGAAACAGAGAGAAGGATCTAGGAGTTGATATCACACCAACCCTGTCCCCTGAAGCCAACATCAAAAGAATAACATCTGCGGCGTATGCGAGGCTGGCTAACATCAGAACTGCCTTCAGGAACCTGTGTAAGGAATTATTCAGAACCTTGTATACCACATATGTAAAACCAATCCTGGAGTATGCGGCCCCAGCATGGAGCCCGTACCTTGTCAAGCACAAGGCGAAGCTTAAAAAAGTTCAGAGATATGCCACTAGGCTAGTCCCAGAACTAAGAGGCATGAGTTACGAAGAATGGCTGCGAGAAATGCACTTCACGACACTAGAAGACAGGAGAGTAAGGGGAGACATGATCAGTACCTACAAAATTCTCAGAGGAATTGAGAGGGTTATCTTGAGATGATTTCGGGGCTTTAGTGTCCCCGCGCCCCGGTCCTCGACCAGGCCTCCACCCCCAGGAAGCAGCCCGTGACAGCTGACTAACACCCAGGTACCTATTTTACTGCTAGGTAACAGGGGCATAGGGTGAAAGAAACTCTGCCCATTGTTTCTCGCCGGCGCCTGGGATCGAACCCAGGACCACAGGATCACACGTCCAGTGTGCTGTCCGCTCGGCCGACCGGCTCCCCTATATCTATAGGGTAGATAAAGATAAACTGTTTGACACTGGTGGTACGAGAACAAGGGGACACAGGTGGAAACCGAGTACCCAAATGAGCCACAGGGACGTTAGAAAGAACTTTTTCAGTGTCAGAGTAGTTAACAGACAGAATGCATTAGGCAGTGATGTGGTGGAGGCTGACTCCATACACAGTTTCAAATGTAGATATGATAGAGCCCAGTAGGCTCAGGAATCTGTACATTAGTTGATTGACAGTTGAGAAACAAAGAGCCGGAGCTCAACCCCCGCAAGCACAGTTAGGTCAGTACAATTAGATGAGTAGTTGAGTAAAATTCCCTACACCACCAGTTGAGTAAACATCCCTACACCACCAGTTGAGTAAACATCCCTACACCACCAGTTGAGTATACATTCCAACACCACCAGTTGAGTAAACATCCCTACACCACCAGTTGAGTAAACATTCCAACACCACCAGTTGAGTAAACATCCCTACACCACCAGTTGAGTATACATTCCAACACCACCAGTTGAGTAAACATCCCTACACCACCAGTTGAGTATACATTCCAACACCACCAGTTGAGTAAACATTCCAACACCACCAGTTGAGTAAACATCCCTACACCACCAGTTGAGTAAACATTCCAACACCACCAGTTGAGTAAACATTCCAACACCACCAGTTGAGTATACATTCCAACACCACCAGTTGAGTAAACATTCCAACACCACCAGTTGAGTAAACATCCCTACACCACCAGTTGAGTATACATTCCAACACCACCAGTTGAGTAAACATTCCAACACCACCAGTTGAGTAAACATCCCTACACCACCAGTTGAGTAAACATTCCAACACCACCAGTTGAGTATACATTCCAACACCACCAGTTGAGTAAACATTCCAACACCACCAGTTGAGTAAACATCCCTACACCACCAGTTGAGTAAACATTCCAACACCACCAGTTGAGTATACATTCCAACACCACCAGTTGAGTAAACATCCCTACACCACCAGTTGAGTAAACATACCAACATCAGCAGTTGAGTAAATATCACAGTTTTATCAGGAACTTTTCAATATGAGTCGTGGTGGCGGTAATGAGGTAGAGCTTATCTGTGGTGTGTTGCGCAGCCCTCCAGTGGGGCGGGTCCCTTGTGGGGACATCCGCTTAGTGTTCCTTTCACCCACCATCACCACACTTCCCACACCTCTCGTCTCACACAAAACTGGGTAATGTATACATGGTTATTTTGTGTACTGGAAGATTAATGCTAGTGGTAGTGAAGTTGGCTGATGAGTACTGTGGTAGTATAGTTGGTTGATGAGTACTGAAGTAGTGAAGCTTGCTGATGAGTACTGTGGTAGTGTAGTTGGTTGATGAGTACTGTGGTAGTATAGCTGGGTGATGAGTACTGTGGCAGTCTAGCAGGTTGATGAGCACAGTGGGTGTGTAGATAGTAGATGAGTACTATGGAAGTGTAGCTGAAAGATGATTACTGTGGTAGCGTAGCTGGTTGATGAGTTCTGTGGTAGTGTTGCTGCTTGATGAGTACTGTGGAAGTGTTTTTGGTGGATGAGAACTGTTGTAGTGTAGCTGGCTGACGAATACTGTGGTAGTGTTATTGGTTGATGAGTACTGAGAAGTGTAGATCGTAGGTGAGTACTGTGGTACTGTAGATGGTTGATAAGTACTGTGCAAGTGTAGCTGATATATGAGTACTGTGGAAGTGCAGCTGGTTGATGAGTACCATGGAAGTGTAGCTGGTTGATGAGTAATGTGGTAGTGTAGCTGGGTGATTAGTACTGTGGTAGTGTACCTGTTGATGAGTGCTGTGGAAGAGTAGCTGGTAGATGAGTAATGTGGTAGTGTAACTGGAAAATGCGTACTGTAGTAGTGTAGCTGGTTGATGAGTACTGTGGTAGAGTAGCTGGTTGATGAGTTCTGTGGAAGAGTTGCTGATTGATGAGTTCCATGGTAGTGTAGCTGGTTGATTAGTACTGTGGACGTATAGCTAGTAGATGAGTACTGTGGTAGTGTAGCTGGTTGATGAGTACTGTGGTAGAGTAGCTGATTGATGAGTACTGTGGTAGTGTAGCTGGTTAATGAGTACTGTGGTAGTGTAGCTGGTTGATGAGTTCTGTGGAAGTGTAACTGGTTGATGAGTACTGTGGTAGTGTAGCTGGTTGATGATTGCTGTGGTAGTGTAATTAGTTAATGACTACTGTGGTAGTGTAGTTGGTTGATGATTACTGTGGTAGTGTAGCTGGTTGATGAGTACTGTGGTAGTATAGCTGGTTGATGATTGCTGTGGTAGTGTAGCTGGTTGATGATTACAGTGGTAGTGTAGCTAGTTAATGAGTACAGTGGTAGTGTAGCTGGTTGATGATTACAGTGGTAGTGTAGCTAGTTAATGAGTACTGTGGTAGTGTAGCTGGTTGATGAGTTCTGTGGAAGTGTAGCTGGTTGATGAGTACTGTGGTAGTGTAGCTAGTTAATGAGTACTGTGGTAGAGTAGCTGATTGATGAGTACTGTGGTAGTGTAGCTGGTTGATGAGTACTGTGGAGATATTTCTGGTAGATGAGTTCTGTGGTAGTGTAGCTATTTGATGCGTACTTTGGTAATGTTGTTGGTTGATGAGTACGGTGGTAGTGTAGCTGGTTGATGAGTACTGTGGTAGTGTAGCTGGTTGATGAGTACTGTGGTAGTGTAGCTGGTTGATGAGTACTGTGGTAGTGTAGCTGATTGATGAGTACTGTGGTAGTGTAGCTGGTTAATGAGTACTGTGGTAGTGTAGCTGGTTGATGAGTTCTGTGGAAGTGTAACTGATTGATGAGTACTGTGGTAGTGTAGCTGGTTGATGATTACTGTGGTAGTGTAGCTAGTTAATGAGTACTGTGGTAGTGTAGTTTGTTGATTTCTGTGGTAGTGTAGCTGGTTGATGAGTACTGTGGTAGTATAGCTGGTTGATGAGTACTGTGGTAGAGTAGCTGATTGATGAGTACTGTGGTAGTGTAGCTGATTAGTAAGTACTGTGGTAGTGTAGCTGGTTGAAGAGTTCTGTGGAAGTGTAACTGGTTGATGAGTACTGTGGTAGTGTAGCTGGTTGATGAGTACTGTGGAGGTATATCAGGTAGATGAGTTTGTGGTAGTGTAGCTAGTTGATACGTACTTTGGTAATGTTGTTGGTTCAATAGTACTGTGGTAGTGTAGCTGGTTGATGAGTACTGTGGTAGTGTAGCTGGTTGATGAGTACTGTGGTAGTGTAGCTGGTTGATGAGTACTGTGGTAGCGTTGTTGGTTGATTAGTACTGTTGTAGTGTAGTTTGTATTATAGTTTAATATTTTATATTTCTCTTGTGCAAATTCTGCCAAATTTTGACCTGGGTCTCATCTCAGCTGTCTAAACTTTTGCCTATAAGCCTCAGTAACAAGTGTTGGAAAACTTACACCATTTACCAACATTTAATGCAATATGCAGATAATATTGCTGTTGTTTTGTAATAACAAATTAACCCTAGAATTAGTGCTTTAATCTCTCGTAGAAGACGTAGCAGAGTGGAATTTTCCTCAGTAGAAAATGGGGGATTTTATTGCCACATGTCGCAATTAAATTCACCAGCTAAATAATGGGAAACATCCTTAATTCATCAGTTTTTGGACTGTAAACTTTATAAAAACATTTCCTCTTGTACCAACTTAATTATCAGTACGTAAATATATTAAATGTAGGTCCTCTCTCCACTTTTTGACAAAATGGTGAATAGCTGAGGCGGTAGTGGAGGGGAGGCCACAGTCTGTCGCCATTTAATTTAACAAGTCTTGCTGGGGCAAATCTAGCTCTGCTAATTTTTCCCTTGGACAACAGTGTTATGGGTTGTAAAGTGCTCTCATTATCAACACGATCTTCGTCTACAAATCAGGGAGGTGTACTTACCGAAACCCATTTATTATCTATACATTCCTGGCCAGTTATGTTAGGTAGCTATAGGGTGAACTGGTTAGAACACGAGTCGAAACACAAAATAGGGTGAGCAATATTATTATCTCTTTATTAAACTTACCTAATGTTTCCCCTTATATAGCTGTCCTATTTAGGATTACTGCTTTTGTTTGTGAGTGCCCTTTGACAGGTGCAATTGAAGGGGAAGAGGAAGAAGTAGTAACACTAGCTACCTAGTACACCAGTACTTGTGTTGAGGCCAGCCTCAACCACGAGGAGTATTCATCCATGTCCATATCTGGTTGTCTACGCATCATCCATAAAGATAAGGCCTCCATATATAGTCCATATACTAACATATACAGTCTAATACAATAGTAAATGTCTACTAACCAATAATTTATATTGATCTTGAGGTTGTCTTGAGATGATTTTGGGGATTTAGTGTCCCCGCGGCCCGGTCCTCGACCAGGCCTCCACCCCCAGGAAGCAGCCCGTGACAGCTGACCAACTCCCAGGTACCTATTTACTGCTAGGTAACAGGGGTATCATGGTGAAAGAAACTCTGCCCATTGTTTCTCGCCGGCGCCCGGGATCGAACCCGGGACCACAGGATCACGCGTTCAGTGTTCTGTCCGCTCAGCCCCCGGCTCCCTGATGACTATATATAAACCATAAGCCCACCAGAATGTGTATGGATGCGAGTTGTGGGAAGAATTTTTAAATCATACAGTTAAAGTTAAACATCAAACAGTTTGCTATCGAAAAATATAAATTAATGTAAAATATAAATTAATATAAACTAAATAAATATAAATCTCACAGGTCATTTTCCCCACAACATGTTGATAAGCAGTAAGGATGGCAGCCTTTACCTTGTCATAATCAAAACTGTCACTCAACGCACAGCTTCAAATATCCTCTGTGCCTTTCCCACCAACTGACCTTGAAGAAGATATACCTATTTTGTTTCAGGCCATTCCATACTCTGCCAATTTTTCAAAATGAGTAAAAAAGTGGACTCGATCAACAGAGGAAACTTGAAATTTTTGTTAACTTTTAACTGCCCAGGTGTTACAAAATCAGCCACCCCTGTATTTTCTGATCTAATTCCCAATTCTGCTAGCCTAATCTCTGACTACCATTTTTTCTGAGCTTCTTCTTTTTCTAACCTCTTCTGAGCTTGTTCTGCCTTTAGCCTCTTCTGAGCTTGCTTTACCTTTAGCCTCCTTTGAGTTTGTTCTGCTTCAAACTGCAACTTCCTTAATTCCAATTCTACCTGCCGCTGCGTTTGATTCTCCACATTTCCTGTAGCTACAACATTTGCACCCCTAGTGGACTGGGACTGCTCTAATATTTCCTGCGGGAGAATTTGCTCATCTACCCAGTGCATCATTATCTTTCTTAGCAGTTCCATCTTCACCATTCCCATGTGCAATAATGACCCATAGAGCTTGCCATCGGCCGCTAGGATAGACTATTTGCTGCTTTCAAACCCTCAACACTGAGATTGTCAACAATTTGTTGTTATAAAATCCATTTTTTGTGTGCTAAGATACAGCTGACTCAAACACAAATTTAAGCCTCAACACCACTTTTTAAGCTGGGAATTAGTTTGGAAAAAACTGATTGGGAACAGTGCTTAGTTCACTTGACTGCCCTGCCAACTGGTAATTTTTAGCACTCGAGAACACATTCAATTTTAAACACTTTTCTTAAAGGTTAACAAAATAAACACAAATAATGTAATAGAATACATAAACTCATATTATACCAATATTAAGAAAACTAAATTTCTACACAAATCAAAGTAAAGAAATAAGCTACACAGTTTTTATGTCAAGTTTGACGTACAGGTCACGCACTTTTATCAGGCTCTCGATTAGGCTTCACAATATGTGACGTCCTTTTGGACAAGCCACCCTATTTTTGTCACAATTAGGGGGTGGAGGGGATGCTCATGTATTTTAATGATATCTAGGGGAAATAATGGCTTTTACGTGAACCAAAGTAAATTCAAGGAGTAGGGAAAACAGCCGAGTATATATAAGACAATGATTTATATGAATAAGACGCACGATATATTACATGACATAAATTCACTCCTTACAACTCAAAATCATTCCGAAGGTAACATGTTATAATAATAATCACCCAAACGTGCTCTTGGCTCCCCATGGTTTTTAGTCAAAGCTGGGACTGGACACAGCCACCACACCTGTCAACCGGTGACACACATTTCTAAACCCCTAGGAAACCTGGACTCTCTCTCAAAAATACTGTTCAGA